AGCAGCGACCGCGTTTCGATGTCGCCGATGTCGCCGCCCGTGCCCTACCCTCCTGCCGGCTTCGTCCAGCGGCGGCGGGAGGAGGAGGCACTGCGCCCGCAATTACCGCCGCAGAGCGTCTCGCCGTCGACGAATGCCAAAGCCAGCCTCAACGAGCCGCCCTCGACGAACGCCAAAGCCAGCCTCAACGAGCCGCCCTTGACGAACGCCAAAGCCATTCTAGGCCCGTGCTGCCCGTGCTTGCCTCTCATGTCCACCTGGGCCGACCAGATCGAGGCCGCTCGTGGGCAGCACAGCGACGTGGCAACTTTCGACGCTGCGTGCAGCTGGGTGCAGGACGTCGCCGCTCCGCAGCGGCTCCTGCCTGACGCCTGCCTCTTGCGGCTGTATGCTGCCTTCAAGCAGGCGACAGTTGGCCCGGCGCCGCCGCGCTCTGGCCAGTTGGACCCGAAAAAGCGCGCCAAGTGGCAGGCGTGGGACGCTGTGCGCAGCCTCGACAAAAGAGAGGCTCGCCACCTCTACTGCACGCTCGTCACACAGTTCTCAGCGGCCGCCGCGGCGGCGACGCCAACGCGAGGAGGTCAGCCTCCAACGCCAACGCCAAAGCCGACCAGCGCGCCGGCGGCCGCCACGGAGCTGCTGCCCGTGACTTCCCGCGTTCTCTCTTTTGGACCGAGCCGCAGCGGCGCAGTCGTGTACCGCGTCGCGTCGCGCTGGGCCGGCGGCGGCAGCGTGTCTACGCACCGGCGCTTCTCAGACTTCCGCACGCTGCACACGGCGCTGCGCAGCCCGCTCTCGCTCGGCGAGTTCCCGTGCGCTCGGGCGCCCTTTCAAACGAGCGCACTGGCGGCGCGCCGCGTCGGAGCGCTTTCTAGAAACCTTCTAGCAACCTTCGAGGGAACCTTCTCGGAGCCTTCTAGGCGCGCCGCGTCGGAGAGCTCTCGGCGTACATCTCCTCGCTTCTGAGCACGGCGTGTGACGCTCTCGCCGCGGCGGACGGGGCGGGCGCGGCGGGCGGAGGGGCACGCCTTGCCGCGGTCGTGCTTGTCGACTTTTTGGGCGGGCGGCCGGAGCCCCGCGCGCAGACTCCGACGCCGAGCAAGCCGACGGTCGGTTCGGCGGCGGCGGCGGCGGCGAGCAGCGGCGGGGACGAGCCCGCGGCGGTGGCGCCAAAGCCGCTGGGGGGCAGCGCCCTAAAGTGCGGCGGGGGCATGCTCGCAAGCCTGGCCGTCTGCATCGGCCCCGCAGCCCCCGCCTGAGCCGAAGGCGCGCGAGAGCCGGGTGCGCGGCGGTGAGGTCCGGTTGGAGGCGGGGCGGGGACGGCGCGGGCCTTCCGGATGCCCCAGCGCGGGACACGGTCAGGCTGCCTCGCTGCTTCCGTGTCGGCTCGCGCGGCATCTCTCAAATGTGACATGTTGGGGGGCATCTGTGAGCCCCCGCCGTGTGTTCAACCTGCTACCGCGTACCGGGTGTGTACAGTCCTCCGACCTCGTCGACACGTCAGCGTATTTTTCGATTTAAACAGCACATGTCATGCACGGTACTGGTGGTCCTCGCTCGTTGGCGCGCCGGTAGAGTGCCGGTGCAACTGGTTGCCTAAAGCGTAAAGAGGTGGTATAGAGAGTAGTCTAAGTTCTGAGCCTCGACGCCTAGCGGGTCTAAGTGTGCCTAGGCACGCTGGGGTGCTTGCGCGGTCTAAGATCAGCGGGAGCCTCTTACATCGGCTAAGTCGGCCGTGGCAAGGCCTGGGGCCAAGAAAGAGGCTCCCACCGTGATCGATATACAGTACGGCGCTCCGCCCAAATTTTCTTCGCCTGCGGCGGGCGCCTACTAAAATCCGGATCGATCCTTCTCATGCCTCAGCAATCGCCGCCTCAGCATCCTCCCCTTCCGATTCTCGTTGACTGCTTCTTGAGCGCAATCTCTAGCCAAACATTTCTCACAAATAGCCTCAAGCTCAAACAAACGCATGTCAGAGAAGCCTGTGTATGCTGGTCCTCTTTGAACGATCCGCGCGTGAAGGTAGGAAGCATAGGACCTTGTTGGCAGCAGCCAGCTTGTTGCGCTGCTTCGTTGCGATGAGCTGATTGGGATCGCAGAAGTGCATATCCATGCCAAGCACCGCCACGATCTTGAAGCAGAACACAGCGCAACCGCATCGTCCGCACTGCCATCAGCATGCCGCGCCCGCCGCTTCGCCGCAGCCGCCTTACGGCACGCATAGCGGCAGCACATGGTACGGTGCGCGTACTTGAGCAGGAATTGCGCGCCGCAAGTAGCGCACTGGCCCTGGGCGATATGGCGTCGTGCGCGGCATATGTGGGACGCGTCCAGGTATTTTTGGGTAAACCTGGACTTTTGCAGGGGTTACCCGGGTTTTACCCAGAGTTGGCCTTATGTTTCAGCTAAGTGGAATAGGTGATCTGTCGCGTGTCGGGCTGTCGGGCACTGCCCACTGGGTCAGGCACTGTCAGGTGCCTCTGTCTGTCAGACTAGCTGTCAGAGGCTCAGACGCTGTCGGAGCTGTCAGACGAGCTGTCAGGCGCTGCTGCTGCTGTCAGAGATAGGGCCGGTGCTGTCAGGTGCTGTCGGGTGGCGCTGTCGGGGTGCTGTCAGGCTCTGACACACACCACCCTCTGTTTAAATGGTTTTGCGCAAATCAAACGCAGCCAAACGGAGTTTTCTTTTTTGCCTCTAAGGCGCGGCTGTGATTGCCCCGGCGGGCTTTGTTGTAAAATCAGCATGATCAACACTCTCGAGCCGCAGCGCCGTGGTCGCGCGGCCGTTCTGGTGCTCGGCGTGGCCCTCGTCGGCGTGGTCGCCCTGGCGACGTCGCGTGCCGCCCGGTATGCCCTCTTCTCCGGTTTCGGAGCGTGGAATGCCGCCAGCCAGCACAGTTACCAAGAAGCTATGTGCGTACGGTGTCTCGCGCGGTGCTCCAACTCCAGCGAGCGCGAACGGATGGGGCCGCCCGGCTCGGCCGAGGCGACCACTGAAGGATGCGCCCGACACTGCACAAGCGCGTGTGTGGATCTCACGGAGGAGGAGACCATCGAACGCTTCAAGGCGGAGTACCCGAGCGCGTTTGTGCCATCGCCGCCGCCGCCGCCAATTGTCGGTGCCACTTACCGCTGCCTGTGCCTTGCCGGCATCACCGCTGAGACGACGGCAGACGCCGTGAACAAGTGCGTCACCGCGTGCATTGACCCTTCAGCTGGCTCTGAGCAGCAGCCCATCCTGCCCCCGGACTACCCCACCTACAATGATGTTGCTGACCTCCCGAAGGGCTACACCGACCCCGCTTGGAAGGCCACGCGCGCCAATGGATGGAACTGGGACCCACGCACGGCGTGCCATTCCAAGTGCTCACGGCACGCCAGCCCGCACCGTTGCCCTACGCCCGATTCCATGTGCGGATGGGGCATCAGTGTCTGTGGCGAACGGCACTGCGGGCTACACGAGTGCACGTGCGCGTGCGAGGCTGCTAATCCCGACCCGGAGTATGACACGTGTGACAAGATCAAGGAGGACGCCAAGCGAAACAAGTTGGCCTTGGCGCACGGGCTGGGGCTGTTCTCAGGCGTGGCCGACGACGGTGGCGTGGGCGGGGCGATGCAGCAGCAGCAGATGCAGATGCAGATGCAACATCAGATGCACTAGCACTCTCGACATGGAACTTCACGGCGGCCGCTAAGGCCCTGATGAAGGGGTGCTGGCAGATGCGATCGATCTTGCCATGGCTGGCCGCAGCGGGAAACCTGCGGGTTTGAAGCATCATGAGATCTCTCTGTCCATGTCCATGTACCATGCGTCATGTGCATGCATGCGAGCCTGTGTGCGCTCGCCCCCTCAGTCTGTATGTGCGCATGTGATAGGTCTGCGACACGTCAAACCGCATGTGTGTATGTTATCAGAGGTGAGGATGGAGAACAGCCAGGCTGAGGCCTCGGACTGGAAACCGGGGCGCGGTATGGGTCTTTGGGTGGACGCGAGACCCAGGAGATGACGGCGCTGAGCGCGCAGAGGTCGAGCGGCAGTAGCATCGATGCCATAAATAAATAAATACAACGGACATCCCAAGCTAGGGCTGGGTCGAGGACAGACACGTCCCCACCTTTGCAGGATTTTGCAAAAGCGAGGGGGGAGGGCGCATCGCCGCGCGGAGAGGGCTGGGCACAGGGCACAGGGGATCTCTCTCGCATAGGATATGCACTCGGCGGCACGAGGGCAAGGCTGGGCGTCCTATGTTTGTGCTCCCCCCCGGACCCCTCGCTCTCGGGCACTAACCATCTGACCACTCATCGACGGGGCTTGGCGAGCGGCCGCGCTGCGGGGCAGGGCTGGTGAGAATGGGCTCTGGCCACTCGCCCGTGCGGTTGTAACCCCGCATCTGTCGGACAGAGGCCTCGACCGCCCCTCGCGGCAAGCTCTCGAGCATCTCGAGCAGCTCGCCCGCCGCCATCGCCGCCTCGAACTGCTCCCTCATGCCGAGCGCGCCGCATACCCTGCGGACCGCCTCCTGCTGCACCTCGTCCGGCGTATCGGTTTCATAGCCGGACGAGTCAGCGGAGGCGGCCCGCTTGGCGGGCGGAGAGTCGGGCGACGGCGAGCGCGACTGGCGCGAGGGCCCGCTGCCGCGCGCGGACAGCGCGTTCTTGTCAACGAGACGGGGTCCAGCATCGGCACGGCCCCTGGCACCGCGGCCCTTGCCGCGCTGCTGCTGCCCACGCTTCCTGCCCGGGTTAGGGACAGTGAAGGAGCAGCCGCGCACTCCGCCGCCGCTGGGCGGCGGCGGCACGCGCGCGGCGGCGGCCGGGCCCGCAGGCGCGGCGGGCTGGCCACCCGCGGTGGCACCCTGCGGCTGCGATGCGGCTGCGGCGGCGTACGTCTTGGGCGCCGGCTCCGCGGCTGGCGGCGCGGCGGCAGGGGCGGGCGGCGCCGCAGGGCTCGCGCTCGCAGGCGGCTCCGTGGCCTGCGCCTGCCGCTCCTGGCGCACAGCGCGCTCGAGCTGCGAGTGCGGGTGCAGCTGTACGATGACGTCGCCGCTCTGCGTCGCGGTGAAGGAGACCGAGTACGGCGCTTCGCCGTCGTTCTTCTTCTCCGCGTAGACGAGCGCGTAGTCGCACACCTGAACGCCATGCGTCAGGCGCTGTTTGAATTTGATGCCGCCGTGGGAACCGAGTAAGCCGCTCATTTTTTTCGGTCGGCAGACTCGTCCACCAGGCTTGTGACATGCGCCTCTCCTCGCACTTCTTTCCCAAGTTTGACAATCAGTCCGAGGGCGTCCGTCTCTCGTCCGCGCCGGCTGCGGCGGGCGCGCGCTGCCTCGCCGTCTCGAAGAAGCACTCGGGCCACCTAGTGATGGCACCGCCCTTCTACAGCAAGAACGGGACCGCCAACAAGTACTCGCGGCTCGGCGAGCGGCTGCTGCGCGAGCACTTCTCGGCGGTGTGGCCGGGCGACGCCGGCGCCTTTGGCCGCTGGTGGGAGCATGCCGCGCGCTTCTCGCTCTGCTACTCGTTCGAGTGCGTGGCGCCTCGGGTGTGCGGCGACCACGGTGCGACGCCGCACGCCGCGTACATGGTGCTCACGTGCGTCGCGCACGCGGGCGGCGAAGGCTTCCTCTCACCCGCCCAGCTGCTCGAGCTGGGCGCCGCGTGGCGTCTCCCGCTCAACGAGGTTTGGTACGTGCCGTGGGAGCGGGCGGCGGCGGTGGAGGACCGGCTGCACGCGGCGCGATGGAGTATGGCCGACGAGGACGCGGACGCGGCGCTCGAGGGCTGCGGCGCGGTCCAGCGCTTCCTCTCGCACGGCGAGACGCAGGGGCAGGTCCTCGAGGGGTTCGTGCTACTCGCTCTGGACCAGGCGCTCGAGGCGCTCGCGCCGCATCTCGCGGCGTACGAGGACGCCGTCGCGCCGCACCGAGCTGCGGCCCTCGCGCGCGCGCTCGACCTCGGCGCCGCGTGCCTGGTACCACACCTCCAGAGCATCGAAGCCAGTGTGGGCTCAGGTCCCGTGGGTGGTGTGGTAGGCGCCGCGTGCCTGCGGGGCGACGCAACCCTGCTGCAGGCGCTCGAGGGTGCCAGCCCTGGTCCCATCCCTCCAGAGTACCGAATCCAGTGTGGGTGGTGTGGCAGGCGCTCGAGGTTGCCGGGCCGCGCGAGCCAGCACGCTCCGAGATGGGGCGCGACGAGGCGTGGGGCGCCGCTTGTGCGGGGGAGGGGCCGCTGCCGACCCTCTTCAGGGCGCTGCGCGGCGCGCACACAGACATGGGGGAGATATGGGGAAGATATGGGGAGATATGGGGGAGATGCGTGCTGCGGCTCGTACGCCCTAGAAGCGGAGGACGCATTCTTGTCTTCCAACTAGCGCTCGAGAGGAGGCGCACTCTGCTGTATTAGACGCGCACTTCACTGCTTTCGTAGCCCTCGCACTCACGCGCTGCTCCGAGTACTCTGCACAACACCACCGCCTCCCCGCCCCGGAGGTGTGTGTAGTCAGTACGGAAGGCTCGGACGGCCGCCGCCTCTCCTACCACACCACCCCCGGGACCGGACCCACACTGGATTCGATACCAGGAAGGTATGGTACCAGGCGCGTACGGCCACCGCGTCTCGCTCAAGAGCTACCACTACGAGGGCGCGCTCCAGCTGCAGGTGGACGTGGGCGACGACAGGGTCTTCTTTGGCTGGCCGCTGCACGCCGCGCTCCGCGGCGCCGCGCCGCTCTACCGAGGGATGGTCGTGCAGTTCGACGACCGCTCGCCCCCGCCGCTCGCCCGCGCGCTCGCGGAGGCGCCCGCCTCCACCGCATGCGCTTCCGCCTCCTCCTCCGCCTCCGCCTCCGCCGCCTCCTCCTCCGCCTCCGCCGCCTCCGCCTCCGCCGCCTCCGCCTCCGCCGCCTCCGCCTCCTCCGCCGTGCCGGAGCCGATTTCACATGCGGCGGGCGCGGCGGGCGCGGCGGGCGCGGCGGGCGCTGCGCCGGTGCGTGTGCTCGCCATCGCAAAGCTAAAGTGCCTGCGGTACCTCGTGCGCACGTTTGGGGTGCGCAACTTGCTCAGCGTGCTGCTGGAGCACGGCCCGTCGGCTCGTCTAGCTAGATGCGGGACACAGACGCGGGACAGGAGATACCGAACTCGATGCGCCGAGCGGAGCACTGTCTCTAGAGCACACCTCGAGCACACCTCGAGCACACCTAGAGCACACTGTCTCTAGAGCACGCCTTGCTCCGCTCGTTCACCGCCGGGGTGGGCGCCTGGCGGCGCCGCAGCGGTGGCCCACACCCTGGCCCCGCTGCCTTCATCCCCCCCCCCCCCCCACCACCACCAACGGGACTGAACCCACACTGGATTCCGTTCCTTTTGAGGTATGGTGCACGCAGGCTCGAGGGGGCCCTTCCCAGCTACCACACCACCAACGGGACTGAACCCACACTGGGTTCTGTACTCTGGAGGTAGGGTACCACCTCCGTAGGCCTACCTCGCACGCGCCGCCAAGTTTTGCGCCAACTGGGGTGTGCCAGAGGCGCACCGGCCGGCAACGCTCTCCGCGCTCTCCAGCTGGGCACGCGAGGTCGGGCTGCTCCCCCATATCTCCCCATATCTCTCCCATATCTCCCCCATATCTCCCCCATATCTCCTGCGAGGTCGGGCTGCTCTCGGCGCTGGAGCGCGCCGAGCTGACGGGCCGCGGCGGCAGCTACCTCCGCTTCCTCGAGCCGTGCCTCGAAGGGCGCGGCCGGCAGCACGCGGCGTCCAGTCCGGCCGACGCTGGCCGGTCCGAGAAGCTGCGCGGCTAGGAACCTTCTAGGAACCATCCAGGAACCTTCTAGGAACCTTCTAGGTCCGAGAAGTTACGCGGCTACGCGATGCTCCTTGTGAATCTGACCGGCGCGCCGCTACCTCCCGAGGACCTGGCCGCGTACGGGCGCGGGCTTCTGCCGCTCGCGCGCCGCGGCGGCGGCGGCGGCGGCGGGAAGCTGCAGCCAGGGACCGTTGCGACCACGGACTTCCCTCCGGGCGGCCGTCTGCTGAACACGGGCGTGCCTACGCTGGTGCTGGTGCTGCCGCCCCGCGACGGCGCCGACAGCCGCTGGAGGAAGATGTACGAGCGGTGCGCCGGGCTCGAGAGCGTGGGGGCGGGCCTGAAGGGGCGCGTCTTTCGTGGCTTGAGCCCTGCGCAGTGGGACGAGGCGGGCAGGGAGCTGCCCCGAACTTTCTGGGAGCCTTCCAGGAGCCTTCTAGGAACCTTCTAGGCGGTCAAGGGGCTGCCACCCTCGCCTCTTGCGGCGGCGGCCACCGCCGCCGCCGCCGAGAGCGACGGGGTCGGGGCCGCCGTTGCCGGTGCGGTGGGTGGCGGACCCGCGGGCGCGCGTCGGCTGGAGAACGAGCGGACGGTCGTGGCGGTGGCAGCATTGCCACCGGGCGGCGGCAAGAGCACCCTCTTCCGCCGGCTGCAGGAGGCCGGGTGGCAGGTCGCCTCGTGCTCGGCGAGATCTCGGCGAGATCTCGGCGAGATCTCGGCTATCGCTCGGCTCTCCCTCGGCTAGGCTATCCCTCGGCTATCCCTCGGCTATCCCTCGGCTACCCCTCGGCTACCCCGTCGGCTACCCCTCGGCAGGTCGCCTCCTCCGACGAGGAGCGGGCGCGCGGCGGCTCGTTCGACGAGACCCTCTCGCGGGTGCTGCGCAGTGCGCCCGCCGTCTGCTACGACAAGAACCTGCCGGACGCCAACGGCCTCTCCAAGCTCTGCCGCGTACTGCGCGCTGCCGAGACGCGGCACGGCGTGCGCGTGCGCGTGCTGCTCGTGGCGCCCCGCTCGCTGCGCCATGACGTGATGTGGGCTCGCGTGGGCGCCCGAGCGGCGACGGACCACGCGCTCACGCAGCACATTGAGGGCGGCGCGGCGAAGGCGTACGAGATCTTCAACGCGGTCTTCTTCGAGCCGTCGCGAAAGGCGCTCAGCAGCGTGCACCGCCTGCCCGGCGTCCTCGTCAGCGACGCCTTCTGGGCCGAAGGGGCGGAGGGGCCAAAGGAGCTCGCGGAGGAGCTCGTGCGGCGCGCCACCGCAGGCGACGCGCCGACGCTAGCTGAGTTCGCGGCCGCCGTCGCGGGAGGCGGCGGCGGCGGCGGCGGCGGCGGCGGCGCCTCCGCCGCCGCGCCGACGGCAAGCTACATGATGGCGGAGTTGCCGGGCACGCAGATGCACGTGACTCTGGTGCCGCCGCGGGGGAGCGCGACGTCCGCCGCGGAGGCCGCCGCCCTCTTCGCAGCGATGAGGGCGCTCCAGCCGCTCGCCGGCTCGCCGGTGCGCGTCGTGCTGCCCCTTCTAGGATCCTTCTTCTCGGAGCCGTCTAGAGGAACGTTCTAGGAACCGTCTAGGTGCGCGTCGTGCTGCTGCGGTACGTGCTGGGCACGTGGCGGGGCGAGACGCGCAAGATTGGCTTTTGGGAGGCCGGCATCCGAGGGCTGCCCGATTCGCTGCACTACACGCCGCAGGCGGCCTTGTACCACGTCACCGATTCGGCCGCGCTCATCGGATGCGCGCCGCGGGACGTGTCCGACTTCCTCGCGCGCATACGCGCCGGCTCGCTCGACCCCGAGTGGCAGGTGCAGATTTTCGAGGCGTCAGCCCCGCCACCGGAGATGGCGGCGGTGGTGAGGGAGGTTTGAGTACAGCGCATTGCCCCTTGTCCGTCTGGCGCATTGCCCCTTGTCCGTCTGGGTGCTCTCGGATGTGCGCTCTACTTGGTTCCTTACTTGGTACCATGGCGGTGCACTACCAGACCAGCCCCTTGGAGTGAAGGCTTCGCGTACATCGTGCCCCGGTCTACTATGAAGATCCGCAGGACTGGAGCGAAAAAAAGCAAGCGTCACGAAGCGAGTGCTACCAGACCACCCACATCCCACACGAAGACACACACCGACCACCGAGCATTCGGCTCTGAGGGCGGAGGTAGAGGTAGGGCTGGCGTGGCCGTGGGGGGCCTCAGGCTGGGCTCAGGTCAAGGTAAACCTGTCTCAAGACCGCCGGAGGTAGAGGTAAACGGAAAAACCACGTGAGGGCAGGTAAACGTACGCCCGTGAACGTAACCCGCCGAGGGCTCTGTCCTCGAGGTGGGACGACCAAGGCCCCGCGAGAGCGCTTCGCCTGCGGCGCGCCTGCCCGGCCATGGACCAGGCTTCACCGCCGCTTGCCGACGGCTGATCGCATCGCCTACCGCATCGCGAATGACCACAGTGCCGCGACCACTTGACCTTGCTGCCTGCCTGCTGACCCGGTGCAAATAATCTGCGCGTCTCTCGGCGCATTGATTGTGCATGATTGCTCGAGTGGCTCGAATTGGCAATCCACCGCAATGCGAACATGACTGGAGAGCATACGCAACACGGACGCAGGCTTGCCGCTGGCGGCGTCGGTTATCAGAGGGGTCAGGTCATAGTGACGCGCTCGATGGGTTGCTGCATTGTCCATTGACGCACACAGCAAAAGCATCGCAGCGGAGACCTTCTCATGAGTGGCGGCTCGCACCATGCGGCAGTGCGGACACCAGGTGCGCGAGGGAGACGCGCGCCGCTTGCGAGGTAGATCCCGTTCCAGCCAGAGGCCGCGTGACCACCACGGGGACGGCTGGTCGAAGGAGAGGTCATCCGGATGTGGGCGGGACGCCCCCGGGCACCTGGTTGCTCTCCTCTTCCAGAGTCCCTCCCGACGGGGACCGGTCTTAGGCCATTCCAACGGCCAGACCGCTCGCTTAAGGCTGATTGGCTAGACGAGCGGTCTACCTCCAACGGGGCGGTCCGGGAACGCGTGGAACCTGCCCACCTCGGTGGGAGGTGGTTTGGCGCCGACGGACCGCCCTCTCCATCACCCTTTCGCCCAGGGATCTACTGCTGTCTCAAGGTCCGACAGGTTCGGCACCGGGCACCGCCTCGGTATACAAAATGCGCCTGCGGGCGGACCCTCACAGATCACAGATCACACCAGGTGCGCGAATTTAAGAGCCATTTTCGGCCACCAAAGCGAGATCACCCGAGAGCACAGCTGAGTCTGCCTCTGGCCTCGCCTCCCTCTCCCTAAAAGTACGTACACTTTCACAGAATGGAGGCAAACCTCACGCCTCTTCCGCTTGCGAGCGAGCACCACCTTCGGCGCACTGTGGTCACCGCATGCGAAGCAAATCGCGCCGTGCGTCGCCGTGCGTGCGTGTGAGCGCCCCTGAGCAACCCTCCCCACCCCACACGCCCACCGGCGCACCCTCGGCCCGCACACGCGCCCTGGCGACCCACAGACCTCCCCCGCCGCCGCGCGTTCGACGTGGTGCCGAGACCACTCCGGCGGCATGACAGCCCCTGCTGCTTCCTGTCGCAGGAAGAGCCGCGGACGGCGCTGATCGTGCGTCCATAGAGCCAGCTCCGCGCGATGCCGTCCTTCCGGGCGACGACGCTCGCCTTCTGCAGGGCACACGGTGCGGCGCTGCGCTGTCGCGAGCGCGCCGCCGACATTCACTCAGATTCGCCGAGCGCTGCGCGGCTGGCTGACGCCGCTCGCTCAGGCGGGCGCGGCTTGTAATCCCTCGGCGCCGGCGACATTGATCCGTACAACGTGGCCGGACAAGGCCACAAAGCTTCCACGGGCGGGTGAGGCGCCGGTGATCCTAGCTAGCTGCCCTGCTGCTGCGATCGCCGCTGCCGCTGCAATAGCCGCCGGCGCAGGCACGACGACCATCATTGGACCATCCACCGGTGCGGCGAACATGTGTCTCGGTGCCCTCCCGCTCGTCTTGTTCATACTCCATCGCCAGGGTGTGTCGCGCACTTCCGTCCTGACGCTCCCGCTGCTCGCGGCGCGGCGTCGGTCGCCGCAGCCGCCGCTCCTCCCGCGTCCCGGCGCTCCTCCCGCGTCCCGGCCCCGCGCAAGCAGCTCGTTGCGTTTGGATCACGCCCTCCCACACCGACCGCAACGACCCAGGACGCCGGCGGCGACGAGGGCGAGGGCGAGGGCGAGGGCGCCCTCGGCTCGGCTAGAGCGGCCGAGAGGCAGTGCGGTCGCGCCTTTTACCGTGACCGCCGCGCCGCCACAGCGGGCGAGCTCGCGCGGGTGTGGCGGGGGCGAGGGGTGCCACGTGGCGGGGGCGAGGGCTGCTGCGGCCGTCAGCGTCAGTCTGCGTGTCGGGGCGCGTTCGCCCGCGTACGGCTCAGACAGGCGTCGGTCGCCGCCTCCGCTGCACGCGGGGCGTTGCGCTGCGCGAGGGCCGCCTGCAATTGCTAGCCATGTGCTTGTTTCATGGCGGCAATGGGTCACGCTCACGCCTCACGGCTCACACGGGTGTGGGGCACGCTCACACGGGTGTGCACTCTCGCTACCATTTTTCACATCTGCTGGTTGGACTAACGGCGTATTCTGTCAAATAAAAAGTCTGCTCCTTGGTCAGAAGGAGCCAGCGCGCCGCTCCTCAGGCCGGAGCCAGAGCTCGGGCCGGCGCCCGAGGAGGTCTGCGCGTCCCGGCATCATGGCTTTTACCTCGCCGACCGTGGTCATGATGCCGACGGGAAGGAAGAGCGTCTCGGCCCGCGAGACGTCGGGCCTGCTGATACGCACGACCCGCTGCCCGCGCTCGCGGTACCCCTTCAGGATGGCGACGCTAGCGAGATCCTTGACGGAGAACATGACGCCAGCGCCGGGATGCGCTGAGCGGGGCAGCCCTTGGAGGTCGGCGTCGGTCAGGCAATACTCGCTGCGGGCGCGGACGATGCCGAGCTGTGCGACGCCGGCGGGAACGAGCAACTCGAGTCCGAGAGGCGCAGAGGACGATGCCATGAGCTCCGCGCCGTCGTCGCTGGGCAGCGTGGCGACGAAGCGGGCTAGCCTTCGCAGATGGCGATAGTGGCGACGTCAGCGGTGTCGAGGACCAGCGGACACCTAGTGGGACGCCTGTGTGTCAGAGGAGCGCGTCGAGAGCGCGTCCACACCGCACAGGCACAAGTGTGCACGCGTGCGGCCGAGTGGCGGCGCGCTCGCGCGCGCGCTGAGGGTGGTTGAGGTGAGATTGACCACCGAGCTCGCGAGCGGCCGTGGGGAGGGTCCGTCCACGGTCTCTGTCCTCTAGGAGTCGCGCGGGCGGCCAGGGAGCGCGTGGGAGGTCACCGCATGCGAAGCAAGTCGGGGCGGGGTGCTCGCTCGCAAGCGGTGGAGGCGCAGCGGGAGAGGTGTTTCGACACCACCGAGTGTTTTGTACTTTTGAACGTTTCTCGATGTGATCTGTGATCTGTACGGGTCCACCGTTTCTCGATGTCGATCATCAATACACAAGTAGTACAAGTGGACACTCGCTTGCTTTTTTTCGCTCCAGTCCTGCGGATCTTCACACTCCAAGGGGCTGACAAGTGGAACTGCAACTGCGAACTGGAGAAAAAGAAGGCGGCGCGGCCGCGGGGGTGCCGGGGGGCTTTACATTTCATTAGTTCGGTCCGAGCGCTCGGCTCACGGTTGCAAACGATCTCTTTAAAAGCATGAGGGGTGGGGGCGGTGGATCGGCTTTCGGAACCTTACATACTCTAACCCTCCGCACAAGCCTCGAACGCACATGTCACGATCAGCCGATGAGATGCTGCAGCCGCTCGACTTCTGCCGCGCTCAGCGCAGGCAGCGCGAGGTCCTGCGCCATGTGGTTCGGATCCGTCGTGCCGCTCAGCGGGGTGATACCGAGCGCCTGCACAAAGCTCAGCCACACCTGCTCGGCCGACGCGCCGTGCGCCTTCGCCACCTCGCGCACGGCGCGCCCCTGCAAGATGCGCCGGTTGCCCGTCAGGGCCCAGAAGGCCTGGTACCGCACGCCGTGCCGCTCGCAGACGGCGCGCACGGCGACGTCGTGCCGGCCGTGCTCCTGCCGCCAGGAGGAGGAGGGGGGAGGAGGGGGGGGGGCGGGGGCGGGGGCGTGGCACAGCTGAACTGGACGCGACACATCCAACCGCGGCAGTCCGAGTGACTAAGAGCTCGCGCCGAGAGGCGGGTGTCGCGCTAGCCTTCCGTGGGACTCGGCGTTGCCTGTCTGACTAGTCGATCTCTGTCTGACCGTCCGTTCTCGACTGCCCGTGCATGCGAACTGGGCCCGGAGTTGTGTTTCTGCGGTGAGAGGCGCGCGCCTCCACGAACCGGTTCTGCACGACGGACGGCTTGACGGAGGCCTACGCTCACCAGCCCCGGCCGGCAGGTTACATCTCCCCATATCTCCCCAAATCTCCCCAAATCTCCCCATACCTTAAGGCCTCAGCCAGCCCGGCCGCCAGGTTCGATCTCCCCCTGATCTCCCCTATCTCCCCTATCTCCGCCTATCTCGAGGCCTCCTCGCAGAGCCGTTCCAGCTCCCATATCTCCCCCTATCTCCGCCTATCTCGAGGCCTCCTCGCAGAGCCGCTCCAGGGCGGCCGCGTCGTACTGGTTCGAGAGACCGAGAGCCCGCGCCTCGCCCGCCGCCACGTGCGCCTCCATCTGCCGCCAGGCGCGCAGTGTCTGCTCGTGCGACGGCAGCGGCGAGTGGAGCAGGAGGCAGTCGAGGTAGTCGGTTCGCAGGTTGCGCAGCGACGCGGCGACCGACTGCTTCACCTGTCGCGACGACGAGGTTCTCAGCATAACTCTCTCATGACATGCGTCTCTACACACAAACACTCTCTCGCTCATCTCTGTCTCTGCCTCTGTCTCAGTCTCTGGCTGTCTCTCTCTCTCTCTCCCTCTTCATCCTTCCCTCTCCCTCCCTCCCTCCCTCTCTGCAGAGTCGTGGGTCGTTTACACCTGCTCCTCCACCTCTGCTGCAGCATCGTACGGCAGACGATCGGGATCCTGGCCCGCCAGTGGCGTGTACTTGGTCTGCACGTACAGATCAGCTCGCCGCAGGCCGGAGGTCTCTAGCGCTGCACCAACGGCCGCCTCATCATAGTGCTTGGGCTGACACGCCGTGTCGATGCCACGAAAGCCGGCACGAAGGGCTGCCAGGACCAGCTCGTACGTTCGCTCTCGCTTCCAGGCGGTGCCGTAAAGGATGGTTGGCGGAGAAGCGGTGGTTGATGCGGACGTGGATGCGGCGGCTGCTGTGGCGGCTGAGACCGCGGCGGCGGCGGCAGCGACAGGACGTGGGACCAGCCGACGCACCCTCATCATTCTGCTTTTGCCGGGCCGAAGCAGAAGAATTTTAGCGCCAATTACGGGAACACGCTTAGAACGAGGCAGACGAGAGCGACGCGACAGAGGATGAAGCGACAGGAGAGAGAACGACGAGGGTGGGACGACCGCGAGGTGGCATGAAGGTTGCAGCGAGAATCGGCGAGGGACTGCGAAGAGAGATAGGAAGAAGCGGACGCCCAAGGGTTAGGGTGGGCGACGGCTAGCACCACACTCCTCTCCTTAAAATCCCTGTGTGGTGGCGGCGTGCCGTCCTCCCATCCCTCCCTTGGGCTGTCTGTTTTCTTTCCTTCTTCTTTTCGGGAGCGTGTGTGTCATGTGAGAGAGGTTGCTGTCTTTTCATACTGTATCGTTACGCCAGCCTCCGCTCCAACCTGGCTCTCATCTCCCGCTCTCAACGCCTCAGCCACGTCGCAGCGGAGGCAGTGGAGATGGCAGCGGAGGCGGTAGCGGAGGGAGGCAATCAACAGGGTGAGGGTTGTCCCCGCGTCTTTGAGAATCGTTGAAATCGTACTGTAAGAAGAGGTGTGACCTTCGCTGATAATGGATAACGCGCGGCGGAGGGGGCGCGGCAAGAAACCGGGCGGCAGGCTATGAGACAACTGTATATGTAACGGCTTTCGCGTCTTGTGGAGCCTCGCAGCGATCCAGGGCTGCACGCCCGGCGCGCGCTCGACCCCCATCTCTGTGCTCATGGGCCCTTGAAGATCTCCGACACTTTGGCTGGATCCACCTATTGGGGGACGCGAACGAGCGAGGTAGGTCGTATGTGAGGAGCCCATCTCGCACGGGCCACGGCGCGTGCAAGGGCGCCTTGAGGCTGTCGTGCAACTGCTTGTGGAAGCTGTCGCCCTTGCCGTTCCACCACTCGACGAACTCGGGCTCCGTGATGCGGCCCGACTTCGTGCTGTCCATCAGCTCGAAAGACGCGGTCAGCTCCTAATGTTTAAGTGCAGATAGACGTCGGGGCGTGATCAGCATCATTGCGCCTCATCCGGCGCCTGAATGCTAGTTGCCAGATGGATGCGTCTGCACAATCTAACCGACGGTTCCTTGGAGTTCGCGAAGGGGAAGCCGAGCCGAGAGGCGGCCTGACCGACCTCGCGCATGTCGAGGTAGCCGGAGCCGTCGGCGTCAAGCTCCTTGAAAAGCGCAGAGAGGTCCTCGAAGGTAGCCTGTTTCTCACGACCGTGCTATCAAGAGACGCCGCGCACAGCTACACCGAGAGCGCCTGAAGACAAGGTGGCCGAGCGGAGCTTGGCACCCGACTTGTCGGGGACCGGCCCGCCAAACTCATTCATGTACGCGGTGGCCTATTCACAGCCGGCCGTGAAGAGGTGCTATTCGAGGCTGTACGGCGAACTCGCGTGGGCGCGGACGCCTCAGTGATCTGACGCTTCTTCTCTCTCGAGGACCAGCCTACGGCAGCCGTGCCACGCAAGCCAGTGTGCCTCGCGCCTCCTTGATGCGTGCCGTGAGGATTCACCCGCTCTTCACTCTCGGCTGGATCTCGGCTAAGAGCTGGCCGAGCTTCTCGGCCATGATGTCGGCCACGCGTGGCACAGCCTCCTTGGCCGCCTCCGAGTTGATGTACGCGAGCCGCATCCGCAGCGAGAGCATGTCCTTGACGCTACGGCAGTACTCGCCACAGCAGTACTCCACCTCCTCCTCGATGAAGGGGTAGCCTGCAGCAAACACACCACACGATATCTGGAGACCGGCGCAAGGGCGGAAAATAGAGTGGGGGCTGGGTGTGCGGGATGCTTCTCCCGCATCTGGGAACAGTTGGTTGCCTTCGACGAGGAGCCGCCCGTACCGCGGCCAGAGCTTCTCCGTAGGCTTGGAGAGGGTGCACACATCCATCGCGCGCCTGCAAGCCACGCCGCGGAAATGTCGTGGACGTGTTGCGTCGTCTCGGAGAGGGGCAAGACACGTCGAGTGCGCGCCAGCCGTAGGCGCGGACGAGGTGCTCGGCCACGTCCTAAATGGATGTGGGACGCCTCATTGAGAGCGGCGTGGTGGGAACGAGTCGCCACCCCGCAGCTGGCCGAGCTCAGCCCAAACGTCTGGATGAGCTTGATGGTGAGGAGGTCCTACATGGCGAGATGAGCCGGGGCATAACAGCCGAGGTGTCGGTCGAGGGAATGTGCACTCGACGGTGCAGAGGCTCCTTGGTCTTCGAGCGCAGCCCACGGTAGCCCGGTTTGAAGTTCTCCGAGCCTACATGGTGACAGCGGGGTACCCCAAAAGACGAAAAGGCAGACTACGGCGTGTCGCAACGGTAGCAAGAATCGTGACTAGATCTCGGCTAGATCTCGGCTAATCCTGCAAACCGATGAGCGGGAGGTGGCGCGTGACGCACGGACCGACGTCTTTGAAGCCCTTCTCCTTGATGACGCGGTTGACGGTGTCCTCTGCCATCTCGCGGTAGGTGGTCCACTTGCCGCCCGTGATGAAGCAGATCCCTGTGTGTTGAAGACAGAGGGAACAGGGTCGTGAAAACGGTACCAGACAGCGCCCGCAGCCTCGATGCGACCAAATCATCGGGAGCATCAACTCAGAGAGTGGAGCCGTTGGACGAGACAGGGTGGCGTTATGCCAGCCGCCAATAGCGACGCGTCCTCCGCATCTAGTCAGCAAGCTCCTGTCTTTGGGTTGTACGAGAGCAAATGGTCGCGCGAGACGGGCGCTCCGGGCGGCGCGTTCGGGTCGGAGGCCAGCGGCCGCCAGCCGCGCCACGCCGAGAGCACGTCAGAGCGGCGGACCTGCAGCTCGGGCGAGAGGTAGCGCCCAACCTCGTTGAGCAAGTACCTATGGGGCGTGTCATGGATGCGTCACGGGCCTGCCAGGGTGAGCTGCGCCAAATCACAAAGCAGATACTGGATCTCGTCCTCGTCCACCTATAGCCGAGATCCAGCCGAGGTGCAGAGAGGGTACAGCCGTGGCGAAGCTGAGGTCTCGTCCTTCATCCACCGCCGGTGACGACTGGGCGGGCGACTTCTTGTCGGTGGTGCCGACGACAGTCGCGCCGTTCCACGGCAGGAAGAAGAGGAAAGCGCCTAGGAGAGGTTGAGGAAGGGTCGAGGAGGAATCTCGGCGGCCGCGCCGTCGGCAGGAAGAGGGAGGGTTGCGCCGCGCGAGGTGCGTAGGTCGGCGAGGCCGATCTGCGAGGGCGAGTAGTAGGCGGGGAGCACGATGTGCGTGCCGGCCCCCGCGCCAACGGCGGGCTTGCACTCAGGGTCCTCCTTCTTGCGCAGCGAGTCGGTGAACGGACCGCCCGCAAAAACAACCGCCTTGCCGGGGGGTAGCAAAGGTTGGAAGCAGCGGGGGGGGGGGGGGGGGG